CGATAATTTTTGAATTTGTTTTTTGTGAGCATGTGTTACATATAAATTTGAGAATAATTCTATATTACAGACATACACACACAAAACCGTCCGTCATATTGTCTCATTAATTCTACTTCCATCTGATTGAAAATGCGAGAAATTATTTGAACTTATATTTCTTCACGTACTTATTCGTCACTGTTCATGTTATATTATTATACACAACATAAAAGTTATTTAAGTATCTTTAGAATCATTTAATGCTATAATTTATATAAAATATGGAAATCGTACACTTGATCGTATTTACCTGTTAATTTACGATTCATAATAAGAAAAAATAACAAACTATATATGTACACAAGTTGTGTTAACTGAAAGATTTGTACATGATTTACTTACAGTTAAGAATTTCACCGCAGCTTTGTATAAAATATTACCATCTCTATATTTTAATTATTATTAATGGACTTTGTGTTCAAATTAATAAGATTTTAAAGCGCTCTCGTGCGTGTTAATATAACAAGGGCATAATAGCGGTTATACGTATAATTTTTATTTGACAATAACGCAATTTGTAATAACTTCGCGCACCTATATATGATAACGAATGACCAGAATGTTATACCTGTTCAATGCATATACGCGCTTATTTTATAAATGGCGTGGATCAAATGTCAGAAAATCATGAATTTGCATGATAATACAGATATAAACTGACGCGATCTACAATAAGAAATATCTCAAATATCGCTTTGTCTATATACAGAGTATTTTTCTGAAATAAATGCCTCATATAAGAATGTAATTAATTCGCTTTTATAATTGTGAATAAAAACGACTATGTTCTTTACACGCAAGGTACAAACGTTAATCGTGGGTAAATTCCCATGGAATGTATACCATCGTTCCCCCTTTTTCCAACACAGATCTCTTTGCGAACAGATTCCCAAGCGATGCTATCTCATTTCCTCTCGGAGATGACGGTGTTTTGATTACTTCTTGTAAAAAAAGAAGGAAAAAGAGATCCAAGCGTTAATGATTGAAAGCATCGCATCAAAGAAATCTTAACTCGCTGAAAAGAAATCGCCAATTTTTTTCATTATTCGCTAAAGTTATTTAAAAATTGTTAAAATAAAAAGTATTAGATATTTTATTTGTATGTATGTGGACTTAACTTTTCCTCACATAAAAAATTTACGCTGAAATCAATTCCTAATTCATCAATCTGTGATTGAAAAAAAAATTACGCGTGAGATTATTGATATATATATCTTATCTATTATAAATTTCCACGTCAGATATATCCCTAAAAACTTACCTTTTTTAAAAAAGGTTAAAAAAAGGCGCCAAGTACGCGCCACTTGTGAAAAACCGTTATATATATTTATAAAATAGTGTTATTTTAAATTGTGTTATTGAAAATAAACTTATAAAAATATTTTAACCAAAAAAATTGTACAAATATATTCTACAAAAATAATGATATCAACAAATTACGCCAACTGAAAATAAAAAGTTATACAAATATTTTAACCGAAAACAGTTGTACAAGATATATAGCTATATTTTAATTTCTTGTATATAAAAATAATAATATTAAAAAATTACGCTATAACTAAATTAAAATTTATGCTATATAAAATTTATTTATTTCCAATATTAAAAGAAAAAAATATATCCAATAATACAAAACACAAAAACATAAAATTCAAAATGGTGGACTCAATATGGCAGATGTCAAAACTTAAAAAAAGTTTAGATTGCAATCTAAACATTTGAGTCCACCATTTTGAATTTGACAATTTTGACATTGGATTCGTATTCAGCGATCTAAAAAACTCTTAAGTTTAAATAATAATTGAAAGCTATTTGGTATAAATTGTCAATGATCTAAATCACAGCTGACTTCTGCAATACACACTCCATATTTAACCATGGATATCTCATTAACCATAACCGATACTAAAAATTCCTTTTGAGGGTTAAAAGACCTAACAATAAAACATACTTTATTTTGATTGTAATAAAACTTCTCCAGCACGTCACATATTGTAGCTATAATATGACAAAGTTTGTGAAAATAACCCTTTTTTGCAACTTTAATTGCAAATTTCTCAAAGTTCTGACGTGGAAAAGTGAGATAGCCTATATTTCTCTCTCACTCACAGGATTTTGACGAAACATGGACGACATGCTCTTATGGCTAGTCTCTTATTAGAGAATCTCTAAAGGGCCGTCTACAATGGCAGTAACAAGGCTTAGGAGAGTATACTTTTAAGAGCAAATGGGCAATTCCCATTTGCTCTTAAAAGTATACTCTCCTACTCCTACAGCCTGTTACTGCCATTGTAGACTGCCCTTTAGGGCCAATTTCACCAAGCTCGGTTAGATGAACCGACGGTTAAAATTAGCAGGATTCCAACTGAAATGATATGAATACTTGGTTTTCCTTCACCTCTATTTTCTGTTGGCCACCCTGCTAATTTTAACCGTCGGTTCATTTAACCGAGCTTGGTGAAATTGGCCCTTAGAGTCCTATATAATCAGAGAGGCGACATCGTTACCCCCATAGACATAGTATATCTAGACCGAGTGTTGAGGAGTGGGGACCGATGCCCACTCCTCAACACTCGGTCTAGATATACTATGTCTACGGTTACCCCCTTCATGCTTCCCATGATCGCCATATTGGGCCCGCAGCTCTCCATTTGTAAATCTAAAATGTCTTTAAAATGTCTCAGAGATATTTAAAATGTTTTTTTTTTTTAGAAAATAACATTACAAATATATTTTTTTCCCACTTACGGTACGCCGGTTGCGGTTAGTTTGCACATAGGATTCACTATTCACTACGGGACCAACATGGCGGTCAGCGCAAGCGAGACGCTATTGTCGCCTCTCTGATTATAGCCGTGTTCCGATATTCACTGCCAGTATTGAAAATCTATAGTATATGTGACGTAAACTATAGATTTTCAGTACTGGTAATGAATATCGGAACACGGCCTATATAGGACTCTAATCACAATTAAACATTCTTATTACGGTTTTGCAATGCTTCATTGTGATTGATCAATTTGCTTATGGCCTTACGATTACGACTAAAAGTTTTTCACGTACACTGGCCTTAAGTACTGTCAGCTATCAGGGCTGCGTTCGAGAACATCACCCATGTGCACCGAGCGTCGTTCTATCTTTGTTATTTATTGAAAGTTGAACAAAGATAGAACGACGCTCGTGTGCACACGGGTGATGTTCTCGAACGCGGCCCAGCGCCGCTAGAATGCGATAGAAACGAGAACCGTTTCGTCCGGAAACGACCAAGGCGACTAAGGCGACCAACACGTTACTTACTCATAAATTTTCTGTTTCGGACTTTGCATCGTAATATCTCCGTTTTTATGTTATATGTGTAGAACGAAAATAGATACTTTTCTCATATAATTGAAACTCAAGCTATCGAATAAGCCTAGTAAGAACTGGATCTATTCAGCGATTATTGAGAACTGATGATAGATTCTCAGATTACTCTGAAACTCTGAACTGGCCGACTCGCGTATGCAAGGTATTCGGAGTCAATCGCACCACCCGTCGTGTGCAGATAGAACAGGTAAAACTAAGAAGAAAAGTCCTTTACCATTTCGCGCGAGTATAAGCGCGCAGCGAGAAGAGACAACCCAAAATTTTGAGGTCGCTAGGTGCGCGACGAAGTTTTGGGAGGAGCGCTCTATGACAACTGTTACGTATGTACAAGCGGTACATAATGATGGATTCTTGTGTCCTAGCAACTAGAGTTCTAGATTATCAGAGAGGCGCCAATTCTATTCTCACCATGCCCACCGCCGCCATTTTAAGACACAAACATCAGTAACGCTTATATATGTATATATCATACAGGGTGGTCCATTTTAAAAGAGCTAGTCAAATATCTCGAAAAATATGGAAGATACGAAAAAACGTTTCAGACAAAAATTGTTTGGTTCGAAGGGGGACATAAGATGGTGCCATTGATGTGACCTTGGATAGTCATTTGAAGGTCACATGAAAGTCACTTTCAATTTCTTGAATGGAAACCCCCATTTTTCATTGCATATTCTTATAGCTTATATCGAGAGCTTTCCAAAACACTATAATAAAGTATTTTTTTATTAAGTACTTTTTGAGTTATTTTATATTTTAATCTGACATATTTTGATATAAAAAATAAAATATCTCGTAAAATATTTAGTTTTCGATAATCTTTTGTCTGAAACGTTTTTCCGTATCTTCCATATTTTTCGAGATATTTGACTGGCTCTTTTCAAATGGACCACCCTGTATACACACACACACACACACACACACACACACATATATATATATATATACATATACACATATATGTTTTAAATATGTGCAGCTTAATTTCTTCATATATAACATATTATAAGACATTTCTATTTACCGTGGTAACAAGAAATTATAATATGCACTTATTTAAACTTTTAATATTAACACAACCACATTTGATTGACAGCTGTCAGGCTGTACGTGTGACGTTTGTATTCTAACATGGCGGCTATTTTAATCGACCAATCAGGAAGTGGGAAAAGTTGGCGCCTCTCTGATAATCTAGGACTCTACTAGCAACCACATATCAATGGACCGTATTTTCTTTGCGCGCGCTAATTTTTGCGCGAATTGGCCAATTTTTCTAAATTAATTTCTCGATAATTATTGCAAATATCGCAAAATGATAAAGGACTTTTCTGTTCAGTTTACTGTGCTCTATCCGCTCACGAGCGGTGGCACAATCTTTACCAGACATCCTGTAGATACACGGTGCGTCTCCCCGTTGTTGCGCGCGGTCTTTGTTTCGCGTGACTTAGCACGAGACACTACCGTGAGTACCGTGTCTCTTGATGTATATATGGGATAAAGGATCAATCAGGAACTGACATCGATTAAAGATCGAGTAAAGATTGTGTAGTACAAATTGTCAGTTTATTCTAAATTATATAGGAGAAGATTAAAATTCATATTTTTATATCTTTATTGTACTTATTGATATAATTACAATAAAGAATATAAATGTAATTTTCAATACATTCTTTTCAAATCGAAGAAGTACTGAGAGAAAATCTTCTACACAGATTATAATACAGAAAATCCTTCATCTGAAAAAAACTCAAGTATCATAGCACATAAGTCCTTCTAAGTGTATGATCAGGGTGTCTACTCAAATCTTATGAAAAAATTCCCTGAAAATTTTCTATTCTTCTCCAAGTATTCTTGTTCAAAATTTCAAGAAAAGAGGCTAAAGATTTTTTTAGTGCAACTTTCTAAAATAAGCTATTTTTTATTGTATAATTTCGTTTTCTGATGCTTTTCAGTCACACGAAGAAAAAAGACAGAGCCACTTAAGTTTCAAGTGCTAGATTTGCAATCTACTAAAAAAAAGAAAAAAAATTGAATGACTTGCTTAAAATAAATATTTTCCACTTGTATATCTTCATTTCTTTATCACTAAAAATAGCAATAAAAAGAATATGTACTGCACAATCAATATTTTGTTAAGATGTCTAATATATAAACAAAGATATATATTTATAATATATATTCATAACTTGGTTTATCGGCGAATTGTAGATTGCTTACAATATAAAGCATTATCAAGGAGAATTTTTTAAAAAATTCCCTGAGTCCAAATAAAATTTCATGAGAATTCTTTGATTTCTTCAAATATAAAAGAAATCCTTGAGAATTCCAGGTTTTCCAGGAAGTAGACATCCTGATGATATAATTAAATATATATTTTAAAAATAGCTCGTTTAGACATCACGGCATTGTGTGTCCATATATATCTCCATCTTTCTTTAATAAAAATAAAAAAAATAAAAACATTGTAATATAATAGATTCGATTTTTATACTTTACGAGGATTACAAGAGAATGATTAATCAAAAATTAATTTCACGCGAATACCTCAAAGGTATATGTTTAACGTAATTATTACACCGGGATCCGTAATCATGATCACAATAAATGCTGTACGTATACGTTTGAAATGCTATGTACATAAAATAACACGTATGCGTACTATATCAGAAAATCTATATGCCGTTTTTAAAATGGGATGATTATTTCTCCGAGATATAAAAAAAAGAAAAAAAAGATGCGGACAAGTTTTACTGACTTGATCAATCAATCTCTAGCCGTTTTTACAATCAGTACCAATTGGCGTGATACACACATTCACTCGCTAAAAAGAGTATATGTATTTTTTAATAAATAATAATGAGAAGTCTATTGACACTGCGTGTGCGCGCACGAATTTACAAATGTACCAAATGTCATCGAGCACGTCAGGAACGCGGGTTGAAAAATACACTGCGTATCCCTTCCTCTATCCTACTTTGTACATGATAGATCATTCACGTGAGACAACGCTCAGACGATCCGTATAGTTTCTTTTCGATTTTTTTTTTCTGTACATTTTTCCTTCTTCATGAAGTCATTTCCACGCGGTGAAATAACAAATCACCAATACTGGCGATCCCAATAAATTAGAATTTGCTTTACGATCTAGCGATGATGTGTACAGAGTGTCCATAAAGATCAGGACCGCATTTATCAACATGTTAATGGGGTCGAGTAGTGAGATGAAAGAAAAGTTCATATAAACTTATGTCCGCGAAAATGTTTTCTTAAAGAGTTAGCAAAAATAAGCGAGTAAAATTGTTCTTATAACTTGTTAAACTAGCGCCAGATTATGCGCGTATTCGCGATTCGTTTATAATTCGTGAACAGTGTGGATGGAAGATTCGTCAAATTCGACCAATCAGATTTCTTTATACCGTTCACGAATCGCGAATTACGAATCACGAATTGCGAATACGCGCACAGTCTGGCGCTAGCTTTAGACGTAATCACCGACATACAATATTATGAATATCGCATAATTCGCAAAAAAAGCGCAGTTCTTTATTGTAATCGCAAAAATAAAATCACAACTCAAACATCAGAATTATGACATTGAACAAATTAAAATGTAATAGAAGCAAAAACATATGTAGTGCAAAGTCTGGAAACCGTATAAGTTAAGACATGTAAAAAATAACTGAATAAATTATCTACTTCCGAGTCAACAATTTTGTTCGTTTATCTTTAAAAGCTTATAATTTTTTAATGAAGCTTTTTCGAACATAGATTTATATAAACTCTTCTTACCTATTCGATCCCATTATTATTGTATAAAATTGATCCCGACTTTAACGGACACCCTATATAAAGAGAGCAAAGAATGCTTTTATAATTACAAAACTTGCTATACCGATTTCCGAGTGTAATAGCTCCTCTCGTAACAGATATAGTGTTAAAAGCACAACCGTTCGGTGACCAATATGCAAATGTATAGACTAAGATTGTGTATTACATTCGTTACTAACTATGCTCGTTTAATAGTTTTTTTTTTAAATTCTTCATAAAATGCTAGACGAGACGTGACAACAAAGTTCCAAGGGAAGTGTTTCGGATGTATCAACAAAAACTTATTTCGCTCGTATCGAATCAAATCTTATATAAATCCATTCACTTCACTCTTGAAAATTTTATCGTCAGATTCCATATACTCTGTCTATACACTCTCGCGTAAACTGTTAAATCAAAAACTGCTATATAAATTATTATCTCTGTAAATTTTTGTTAACAAATTACGAGAGTTTAGCCTAAGACAGTTTTAGCGCGCGGGGTTGGATGTCCCACATGTAGAGTGCATTGAGCGAAACGCTACGTTTTCGTATTGTCTAAGTTTGCGCCGTGCTGCGCCACGCTATTATCGATTTCGAGTAATAAATCTTTCGCCAGATATGAGCACTCGTCACCGCCACTCTCGTTTCCATCATCGTTGTCATCCTCATCGTCATCATCGGGAGACACGATTGGCGTCGCACCGCCCATATCACTACTACATCGTAGACTTTGGTTCGCATTATGACGATTATCTAGAAGATATCAGAGACCCGACTGCGGCGGCTGTCCGTGGGTGTTCCAGGGCACGTCGGTAGGCATCGCGGCGGGTGGTATATTAGCCTGATTGTGCATAGTACGCGGCGCTCGCATGATTTCATCGGCCGGTGGACAGTGCGGACGCGGCCCTGGTTCGGGCGTGTACGTGAAGGTCAAACCGGTAGCGTAGATGATGCCGTCATTGCGAACGAGGGAAACTGGCACCTGCGTCGGCTGGCGCACCCACAGCCACTCGCCGCGAAACAAGGAAATGTCAGGCACGACGCAAAGCATGCTCTCTTGGCATCTGTACATAGTTTCGGCCTCGACATCGCCGAACCAGACTTGTAGATTCGGCGTAAAGTTGTCGCCTGTGAGCTCAAGCATCGCCACGTCACCGCCACCGTTGAGATGCAGACTATGGACTAGCGGTACCGGTGTCACCGGCGACCGTACCGGACCCATGCCCTCGAAGAACTGATATTCCGCCTTGTCCGTGCTGATGATTGTCCAGCAGGCGCCATCATTGATCATTTCCTTGTTTGCCTCTTTCGGGCAAGGTGTAGCTTGAAATTGTATTATACGCTCTTGCGATAGGCACAGATACATGTGATCCGTATCTTTCATGTAGAAGGCGCATTTATGCAATTGCGAAACAGGATCGTCGGCCTCCAAACTGGCCATCTGTTTGTCCACCTTGCGGATCACCAGTCGCGGCAGTGCCATTCCCGTCACGGAGCACACCAATTTCACTGTGCTGCCATAGTGCACGTAACCGTCGCGCACTTGAAATTCCTCCGACTCACTCTCATTATCGTCCAGGAGATGAATTGTGAATGCGCCCCACTGTGTCGAACTCGCGTGGAAGTTACCATTCTCCACGTGAAGATAACGCGTGCTGACCGTTTGCGAGCGCAATCGATTGAAAAGTGCCACCTTCGTGCCACTGGCGATGCACAGGTCTGCGTTCTTCAAGGACTGCTTCTTCTTGGACGGCTTCGAGATCACCTTGATACGCTTGCTGAGAAACACGCCGATGTCGTGGCCGCTGCCATAGAACATCTTGACGGAGAGCATAAAGTGCTTGCGCTTGTCCGAGTCGGAGATGTAGAGAGTCTTCGCTGCGCAATACTGTTTGCCATTATTCAGATCTAGTTGCTGCATATCCTGATCCGAGTTACCGATGCCGATGAAGGCGCACAGCTGAGCATTCTGTTCGCTTTCGCCTTCGCGCAGCATTTGCTCCTGGCGCATTCTCCAGCCATCGCCGAAGAGATAGATGCATGGCGGTGGGCAGAAGAACCGCTTCTCGTTACCATACGACTTTTGCGCGACCTTAGCGTGCAGGATTACGATCATCATGTCGCTACGGTCGCGCAAGTAACGCTCCATCGCCTCACGGGTCAATCGCTGGTCCTGTTGATCGGGCCTGTAGATGCCGGAGCCGAATCGAGGATAAACGGACATGACCGAGGTCGGTGAAGGCGGTGACTGCATACTATGCGCCATTGTTGGCAATCCAAACTGATGTGGCATATTTATAATTCCGGGCCTTAGGTGCGAACGGGATAACAAAGCTGCCGCCGTTGGCGCTGTTATATCTTCATCTTCTAAGCGCCAAGAATGACACTTTCGTACCGCTTTTCTACCTATACAACGAATTCAAATATCTCAATATACACAAGTTATAGATATACAAGTTTAATGATATTGAAAAAATACTACAGTACGTATAATTATCGTTAATTATTAAATAATTGTATAATTATCATTATCTTGTGGAAAGAGTTCATAGGGAATAGCGTACAGCGTGCTAGGTAAAGAAATGAAGAGGAATTAGACATACACAGATGAAAATATTAATCAAAATCATCTAATGAATGTAAACGCTATGCATAAAATACTAATTGCAACATTAATAAAGAGTAGGGCTGTTACTTTTGACAACTTCGAAGAATATATTCGTGCGAATGGCGAATTCGGGGAACGTTAAAAATATTGTAAATAAAAGAAATTAATTAATATATATGCTCAAAAAATATGTAATTATCAACATTAATTATAATTAATATTAGAAATTTCGGATTTTATCATATAATTTTATAAATGTACCTCGATATACCTCGATAGTAATTGCGGTACTATTACTATTATATTAAATTAATAATTGTATAATTTTGATTCTTCGAAGTATCGAAGTTTCGAAGATTCGTAGTTTCGAAACTTAGATCTTCGAAGATTTTAGTGCCAAAGGTTCGCATCTTCGAACCTTCGAAGCAAATCACCAGCCTTAATAAAGAGTAGTGGTGTGTAGAACACGGTTTTATATAACAATTCTTATTGTTAGTACGCAGTTAAAAAACAAATAAACAGCACATGATTTAATGATGTTTCCTTCTCTTAATAAATTTCTAATAATGTTTTGTATCCATGTACATACATCGTGCATTGAGTAGATTTAAAATAATCCGTGCGTGTGTAATACATGTATAATTATAAAATAATTGTAAGATACTTGGAAATAAATTATGGCGGCTTTATATCCCGCTTGATAATGTATTCGCATAATATGCAATAACGTCACTATTAACGCGATTAAGCGTACCAAACTGCATACAAATGTTCGCTCATTTAAAACTTCAGCGTGAGAAAAATTTTTGCTTTTTACGAGGGGAAGGGGAGGGAAAGTATAATTAATTCGAGATATCTTTCTTTGAATAAGCCACCAAGAATTGCTAGTCTTAGTACACAGGAAAAAGGAAACAATATACATGTATACATACGCGTATATCGTGAGAACCGAGCTGAGCTCATTTTTCCTGTATGAATTAAAGCACTTCTTGTCCATTACATAGGTAGAAAGAGATTTTATGTTTATATATATATATATATATATATATATATATATATATATATATATATATTAATAGCGTATTAAATACAATTTATGAATTATACAAAATTAACATTATCAATCGAGCATATACAGGATGTTCCAGGTTAGGTCAATGAAACTTCAGGGTCTTATAGAAAATTGAATTTGGAACAAAAAAGTTTCGATAGACATAGATCCGGAAACGCTTTGTTAAAAAGTTATGGCTAATTACCTTCTAATAAACTCAAAAAATTACGTTTTTTTGATGATTTTTAAAAATAACTTCAAAACTATTCATTTGAAAAAAGTAACGAAACAAATATGATAGGTAATTAAATAACAAACTAAATTACACCAATTTCATTTCTGATAAGGCGTTCAAAAGAAAATAAGCTCAAAACAATGAAAAAAGCAGAAACTTGAAAAAAACCATCTTTCGATAATCTTTATGTAAATACTATATTCGTAATGCAAACATTGCAAATGCAAACATAAAAATGTTCTTATTAAATTTTGATCGTAACTAATTACTTACAGAGAGTTTATTAGCTATAACTTTTTAACGAAGCATTTCCGGACCTATGTTTATCAAAACTTTTTTGTCCCAAATTCAATTTTCTATAAGATCCTGAAATTTCATTAACCTGACTTGGAACATCCTGTATACATGTAAGAAAATTTTATAATTTTATTAACCTTCTTTGTGGAATATCCGAGAATCTTTTTTTTATACTTCCCCTCTTATAGGAAATGAAATCTTACAGAAGCACTCAATTTACCAAATGTTTTATTTTGGGAGTAGTATCTAGTAGAGGAGTAATAATCTCTCTTTGCCAAAATCAAATTTAATTTGTATCAAATACTTTGATAATAATTTTAAATCTTAAAAATGATGTACGTTATATACCTAGAGTTTATCTATTTCGTAATTTGCTTTTGTTACTATTATATATTCCGTAATGTCACAATAACTTTAATTTTGCAGCATAATGCATATCAAATAATATGAGGAAGTAACACAACAAATTATAAAAATTAGTAAGTAATAGGCTAATAAGAGCCAAGTACAGTAAAGATGCTGATGCCACTAATTTCCTTAAAGACAGATTCTTTAATCATCCAAATTGTATGTTTCAGTCTTCTTTTGGACCGTCTTCAGCAATTACATACATAACTAGATAGAAAAGCACAAATTAGTAAACTATTATAACAAAATTGTTGAGATAGCAATAATTTAAGAATGCAGGAGAGAAAAAGAGAAAAGTATTTATCATACTTACATATGTCTTAACTTGCTTAGTTTAATCCGCGTAATCCTAAACTATCATTCGCACATTATTTGCCTAATAACACATAACTGAGTGTCTGATCAAATATCCCAGAAACAGAAAGAACTGTAAATTTATTGCTCACTAACAAGAAAAATATCTAACAAGCTGTGTCTAATATAATGATAAGGAATAGTAGAATATAAAACATGTGCTAATGTATACATTCTGGCCTTGTAATTTAAATTTCTCTTACATATTACTGTCATATGTGCTTTTATTTATTAAATATATATTTTTAATATATATATATATATATATGTTGCACAAAAATATGTATATATAAAATAAACACACACAACAGTTAAATTAACATGATATCGTTTCATACAAATTTGCGTAAACATAGGGAAAATTGTTTGTACTTTTTATGTACTTGGCGTCGCGACGCTATCGCGTCGCTTGATTAAAACCTCGAAAAAGGATCTTTTATGGACATTGTCTTGAACTGAAGTATGACTGAGGTAGAGATGAAAGAAGCGGGGTAGACTTTGAGCGTAATAAATGAAAAATATAATTACGCGCACTCACTCGATGTGAAGGATTATGAGATAATCGATTCGCGCGATGCGATGCGAAGGAAGCGGCGTGTGAGAGAATCAGACATTTGTTTATTTACGTTTTTGGGCGCACAGATGAGAGGTTACCAGGCACACACATTTATTCAGCGGACGAGAAAAAAGTCACAACTCGAGAGCACCCACCTCCTCATTTTCGCCTGGACGCCGAGAATAACCGCGTACCCGCATGCATCCTCCGAGCTATCGATCATCCGGAACGGCCGGCAAATCCCGACGATCATTCACCGTCCGCGAGACATCCGTCCTCTCGTCGCCTATATTCGCTCTAATCCATTCAAAAAACACCTGTTCACTCTCCGAATTTTCCGAACAGTCCTGCCAACCGCAAACTGAACGATGTCGCGGTAGCGGCGAGTTTAAATTTCACTCGTGAGGATCAGATAATACGTTTACGCGAGAGAATTTCTCCATTCTCTTTACAATCTTCTAGATTAAATATGCAGAATATAAGAGAGTGACAGCGTGAATTGTTGAGTCTCGCGCGACCAAACGTTGAGAAATGGCAGTAGAGTTCCTAACGCGCGATTGACGAATCTCCTTCTTCGTGATTGGACTGACACAGGATCGGCGATGTTAAGGGCCTACCCACACGGCCAACGACCGACAGATGACTGAGTTTGCGGCAACGACGTACATAGAGTTATTACTGTCATACGGTAAGTAAACTGTCCCATGAACGTGGCGGGAGTAAAAGAGGTGGGAGGGGAGGGAAGGGGGGAGTTCCACACGTGAGCTCAACAGTACGCGCTCTCCCGATATGTGACGATGTTTACATCGATGTATGAAAATCGCGCGCGAACGTCAGTGGCATTTGAAAAGTTGAGAAAATTTTGTCCATAGAATCGTCAACACATTCAATTATGTTAAATCACGTCCATTGATAATGTTGTATCCGGCGCGTATAATTTTTTTCAAGTTGGAAATATATAGTCCTTGTCACCTCGCGTATATATTAATAAAAGTTAATATTCTCGTGATCTTTATATAAAGTACTACATAAGTACACACTCGAAAACACAAGACAGTAAGTTTGTAACTTATGTGAGTCCTACCTGCCGTTCTGCAGGATAATGATTAATCCTGATTTCCTGTATTTTTTTTTGGATTATAGTCTGTTTCTGCGATGTAGATAAAAAAGTAATTTAATAAATCGCACCATTGAACGTTAACCGACGTGAGCGAACCGAGTATTCTCGGTGGTGCACTTTTAAGACTGTATTATGTATTCGAGAAGTAGATCAAGCACTCTCTCGTATTTTCTCTCTCTCTCTCTCTCTCTCTCTCTCTCTTTATTTGCAATGACACTTTTTTATTGTCTTCGACTTTTCGTGATGGCACGGCGCTTGCGCACGCGGATACGTCACTGGTGTTGCAGATTCTATTGTTTTACTGTTGTATAATGGCCCGGTCGACCCGAGCGCCTCCAGTTCCTTGCCTCCCTACCTGATGTGTGCTGCTCGCGGCCTCCTCTTCTCCCTTGCCCCCCTCTCCCTGTCCCATGGTTGTCATTCCCCCTCCCCGACGGCGTCCCCATGGGCCGTGGAATTGCTGCCGCAAAAGGATGTTGGGGTTACCCTGGGGGGCGTGGGAAAAACCTGCTCCTCTACCTCACTCCACTTCTGTGATGATGACGATACGATATATATGCCGTATCTATAAATGCCGTGCGTGCGAGTGCACGCGCATATGATATGTATATGTGTATATGAATTTTGTGTGTGTATATGTATACATACATACATATATACATACATACATACATACATACATACATACATACATACATACATACATACATACATACATACATACATACATACATACTCAGTTTTCTCGCGTGATTCGTGTGTGCGAGATGTGTAGCCATAGCCGATACTGCGTAATAATGCCAAAGTATATCTGCATGTGCGTGTGTGAGAGCGAATAAGAGAGAGAGAGAGAGAGAGAGAGAGAGGAAAGATCGTCGTGTAAGTGCTCGTGCGATGTTAGTCGAAATATTTTCCTTCAAACATTTCGAAAAACTTTTGGTTTGCTCGGGAGTTCTCAATTCTCTGTAATCAATTGTAATTTTGTGCACTTTTTCAAAGACTAACGCAATATTTTTCAAATATTTGCGAGAGAAAGAAGGAAGTAATGTGTATATATATAATATAGTAAAATTATATATATATATATATATATATATATATATATATATATAGAGAAACGCGCCAGATCTCGTTTAACTCACATGAAACAAGTGTACGCCTATACGTAATGATGTTGATACCGTTCTCTCTCACCGCGGTGAAGAGCTGATTGTTATCCAAACCGTCGAGAAGCTCGTCTCTGCAAACGTCTTTATACTGACCAAGAACTTTCCT